AATCCCGGAATCTGCCTGCCTTGGCCGTGGTCTCCAGGACTCGTGATTTCAAGCCCGACCGTTTTCTCTCTTACTCCAATATGAAGGTAAATCAGGCAACTTCACACTGTTTTAAAAAGTCACTTGGACAAGGTTTTGACTAAAGCAACATCAACAGCTGCATCAAAAGTGGAAGAGGGGACTGACTGGGGATGTACCCACAAAGTTCTCAAGGAAACTGTGTCTATTGCATTTCGTCAAAAGCTGATCTCTTGATCCTCTCTGCTCTGATTTCCATCGCCACCCTCGTCTGCGGGATTCACCCTGTCCACAGATAAAATCTTGCAGAGACCTTAGCAATCAAGCAGCAGCTCCAAGGCCTTTCCCCCCGATTGTTCTACCTTATTTTAGCACCTTCCATGTCCCCCCCACTGTACACCGTGACAGTCCTCATTGAAATCAGTCTGTAAAGCGCTCGCTCGGTAAAGGGAAGCTCTTGTCAGCCTCAGAAGATCTGAGCAGTTCCACACCTGGCTCTTTGCAGTGGGCAGTTCAAAGGCAAAGCGATCTAGTCACAGAGGGAGGGAGTTAACAGAAATTATGACTTTTCAGGGTCTGGACTACTTTGAAGACCAAAGGGTGTTTGATCCTGGCTCTGATACCGGCTTCCTGATCACATCACACGTGGAGTGTATTGAATGTCGAGTGGTTCATTCTTGCTCACACCACCTTCCAAACAATCATCACACGCATTGAGACAATGTGGTGCTTAACAAATGCGGGGCCAACACGGGCCTTCTCTTCCAGGCAGGGTTTTCAATTCATTTCATTAATTAAAAGAAATGGGCATTCATTACAGGAAAAATTTTAAGCTGTCAAAAAACAAGAAATCTTAAAGATCACATTTATAGACATCATCCAAAAAGATATGTCACTGCATCTCTTTTGGGGCTTTTATTTATACATTTTAGCAGCACTGGGATCGTTCTAAAAATATACATATAGTGAGTATATATGGTTGTGTCCCATTTTCACTTCTAATTATAACACAAGGAAGAAACGCACACTCTGGGAGCTGATGTGAGTTCAGGGGTTAGTAAAAATGTGCCTTTCATTGGAACTGCAATTTGGGATTGTGATATTCTGATGAACCTCACCATTCGGCCAGTTCCTTTCACCTTAGGAAGTTGAATATTACATTTTTTCCTGGATTTTAGAGTGAGATTTTGATTTTAGATTTTGAACAGTGGGTGTGATTGCTTGCAGTTAGACTTTATGGCAAAATATTCTTGAATTTAAAACATTCTGGGAGCCAGGTGTGGTAGTATACACCTTTATTCCCAGCACTCAGGATGCAGAGGCAGGAGGACTGCTTTAAATCCAAGGCCAGCAGGGCCACACAATGGGACTTTGTCTCAAAAATATATCTTGGGGTTGGTGAGATGGCTTAGTCAATAAAGGTGCTTGCCACCAAGATTGATGACCCAAGTTCAATGCCCAGGACCCTCCATAGAAGAGATGTGATCATCTATCCCCACACATGTGCTGTGGAATGCGTACACACACCCACACGAAATAAATGATAAATTTTAAAGTTGTATTTTTTTTTTTGCAAAATGCCAACCAGTTTGCACTGTTTGATACTTATAAAATACGTTTATTTAATTCATTAGCACATTATAGACAGCTAGCACTACCTTCGAGAGGAACCCACACCATCTCCTGTGCTTAGCTTCCCTGAGGCGATGATTTAGAGACTCCATATTACAAATATTTATTAAACTCTTCCATGTTATATCAGTTTTCCTCCCACACACCCATACTGCAGCCCTGGTATAAGACACATGAGGAGTGGTAATCAAGAATTAAATCTTCCTTTTTAAAAACTGTCAAAAGCTTGCTACATCAGCATCCAGCGACAGGAGGAGAAATGTCTCTAGTCTACTCCACGCCCCTGCGAGCCAGGTTTTAATTTGTTGAGAAGAAGGGAAGAGCCTATAAAAAATCTTGGCAAAACACAGAACTGCTAATTTAATCAATTTTAGTAGTTAAAGCAGTGACTCCAAGCGTTAACACAATCTGTTGAAAGAACGACTTTCCAAGGTAGGGGAGATTCATTTATTTCTGCGTTTTCTTCCCAGTTTTCCAATCTAAGGATATGTGGGAAGCCATGGTGCTCCCGCTGGAAGCCTCCTCCCAAGACTTAGGAAACAGACCCTGACTCAAATCGCAAAGGAGCCAAGAAGAGGCTCTCCTGAGCCCCAGGGAGGCTTTGCAGCAGCAGAGCCCCCCGCTGAATGACCCTGAGGAAGACACCTGTCTGAGGGCACTGGAGGAGTTGAGACTGGAAAGAAAATGGCCGCAATATATCATGTGAAAAAATTAAAAAAGTAAAAAACAGCAGGAGAACCACGAAGCTTCTGAGACAGCAAACGTTTAAGGTTATAATTTTATACTGGTATATAGGTTAGATCTCTTGATGGTTTTGATGCTTTTTTAAAAAAAAAATCTAATTTATTCAGAATAGCCTGTAAATAAGGTCTCCCATTCAGCTGTAGTGAAAACTGGAGGCCAGTTAAATTTTTGTAGAAATAGAAAGTGGAATTAGAATTAGAGTTGGAAATCACTTTTTCTTCTTCTTCTTCTTCTTCTTCTTCTTCTTCTTCTTCTTCTTCTTCTTCTTCTTCCTCCTTTTTTTTTTTTTTTTTTTTTTTTTTTTTTGTTTGGGTGGTGGTGGTGTTGGTGAAACACGGTGCCTCTACATAGTCTGCTGTCCTGGAATTCACTCTCTAGTCCAGGCTGGCCTCTGCCTCATGATTGCTGGGATTAAAGGTGTGTACCACCATGCCCAGCTAAGAATTCATGATTTTTAACATTAAGCATATGAACTGGGCTGGAGAGATGGCTCAGGGGTGAAGAGCACTGACTGCTCTTCCGGAGGACCCGAGTTCAATTCCCAGCACCCACATGGCAGCTCACACCTGTCTGAAATTCCAGTTTCAGGGGATCCCAACACCCATGGCAAAAAAACACAAATGCACATTAAAAAAAAAAAGTAACAAAACAAAACATGAACTGTGCTAAATACAATTTAGGGGCTCTAATCTGTGTGAACAGAGTCTGACCTAAGTGTGCAAAATGTACACATTGTCACAAGTGGCACCATTTGCTTCATCATCTCAATTTCAAATTCCTTAGAAAAATAAAAGTTTTTTATTTAAAAAAAAAAAAAAAAGCACAGCCTGGTTTCCCAGTGAGCCCCAGGACAGCCAGAGCTACATAGTGAGACCTGGCCTCAAAAAACAAACAACAAAAAGCCAAAAACAAACAAAAAAAAGAAAACTTGCACTGAGCCTGGGGGAGGGGCTGGGGTCTCCTGCGCCCCCGAGAGGGAAGGCTCTGCCTCTGGCTGATGTTGACATTTCCCTGTTCTCATGGCCTCTCAACAGGTCTCCTTTGGCAGCAGTCTAGAAGTGCTAGCTAGTTCTGAGTATGTTTGTCATTCCTGGTCCATCCTTTGTAAAGCTCTACTCTCAATGAGCACTCAGTACCTGAGCAATGGTTGCTATAGCAGAGAAAGGCTTTGGGGGTACAAGAAATCCAAACACTGGCGCTCTGAGAGCATGAACCCGCGTGCCACCTGAGACTGGATGTGTACTTGGACCAGAGGGACAAAGAGTTAGCAGCAAAAAAAAAGCTTAGACAGAAGTGACCAAAACTACAAAGAGTCTAAGACCCAGAGAGAGCCCAAGGGGGGTTCAAGAGCCCTCACTTCTCACCCCAACCACCTAGGTGGTAAGACTCAGCAGGTAGGACAGAGGTAGCCTTGAAGCATCCTCTTGGGCTCGGTGTGTTATGCAGAGAAATAAAAGGCTTTCCAAAGACCCGAGAGTAACACAGACTTAGGGAGGAGACTTGGGCACCCCACCTAGTTTTGTCCAGCCTGGGAAGAGTGGAGCATTAAGGTAGACAGAAAGAGGCTGTAACAGGAAACTCCAATCTAAAAAGACAGACAGTGCTGTCTGGACAGAGACTGAGGAGTCAGATGGGATAGGGACATTGGGAAGATGCCCACCCCCACCCCACACCCCCATGAAGACCAGTGAACAAGGGTGGGGCACTGCCCACAACACCCTGACGCTGTAGCATCAGTCCCAAGGTATCAGAGGAAAAGAGAGATGGGAACTCAAAGTGTCATAGTAAATAAATAAATAAACAAACAAGCCAATAAATAAATAGGCAAGCAGGGCCAGGGGGATGGTTCAGTAGCTGGTTTGGTGCATAAACGTGCTCGTTAGGAAAGCTCGAGACCTGAGGGGGACTCCACAGAACAGGAGTGTCAGCCAGATGCTGTAGCACCAAGTGTCCATAATCCTAGGGCTCCTACAGGACAGAGGGATGTGGAAACCAGAGAACCCCTGGAAATCTGAGGGACAGGTAGCTGGGCATATGCAGCAAAACAATAGCAAAGAGATTATTCTGTCTCAGACAAGGTGGAAACTGAGGACTAGCACCCAGGGTTGTCCCTGACCTCCAAAAGTGTGCTGTGGCAGAGAGAGAGAGAGAGAGAGAGAGAGAGAGAGAGAGAGAGAGAGAGAGAGAGAGAGAGAGAGAAATTTTTAAAATACGTTTTTTTAAAAAGAAAAGAAATTGAGAGGCTGTATGATGTCTCAGCAATTAAGAGTGCTCAGAGTTCAGGTGCCGGCACCCACATCAGGAGGCTCACAGATACCTGTAACTCCAGTTCCAAGACAGCCAGTGCCCCCTTGTGGCCTCAGTGGGTGCCTGCACCTACATGTGCTCAACACACACACACACACACACACACACACACACACACACACACACACACACACACAAATAAATAATAAGTCTTTTTTAATCTTTTATTTTTTGAGATTATAATCTAATTATATCACTTCCCACTCCTTTTCCTCCCTCCAAACCCTCCCACGTACCCCTCCTTGCTCTCTTTCAAATTCATAGCCTTTTTTTTATTAATTGTTGCTACATGCATACATGAAAATATAGAACACTTCACAAATTTGCATGTCATCCTTGTGCAGGGCCCCGCTAATCTTCTCTGTATCATTCCAATTTTAGTACACATGCTGCCAAAGCAAGCACTAAAATAAATATTTTTTTATAAAGAAATCAAATTGGAGAGAAGTGGAGCCAGGTCCGTTACTGCAACACTGGTATATATCATGGCATTTGTGCCAGGATGTGCCTCCTCCCGTACATTCCCAATGGTGGTTCACTTTGGGAAACTGCTGTGTGTTTTCGACTTTGAATATGAGTTGGACATGCCGTCGGAGGGAGAAGAAAGAGACATCTTTGTTGTCTCTGATCAGAATCATCAGATTGGAATCACAGTCTCTTTGGGGGTGGGGTAGCCATCTTAGTTTTTTCAAGAACAAGCTGACTGATTCATCAAGATTCTAGAAAGAACCGAAGGATTGTATTATGCCACCTGCTTTCATTAACTGCTCAGTTGGTGGACTGACAGAGTACTGCTGTCTTTTCTTCTCCATTCCTGTGGCAAATAATCCCACATGTCACTACCATGGTTCACTCCCCCCCCCCAACTTCAACATCCCCTGCTGTGCCCTGGTGCCTTGGGATACAGACAGTGGGGAGAGGCGAGGGTCGGCAGAGCGGGCTTCAGAAATGGACTTGCTTCAGTTATTGCTTCCAAGCTGGTCTGTATGCACATCATTCATGTCTATTCTCCTCATTCTCCCCCAGCGCTGGGGATCAAACCAGGCCCTTGAGCCTACAGCTCCCTGCTGCTGAGCTACAGCCCCAGCCCTGGGGATTCTATTTTTAAAGGTTTTCAAGGAAGGCAATCTCCAATAACCTGTCCGACACATGATCTATATTTTTTAATGTTCTTCCTCTTATCAAATCTCAGCCTAAACCTGTCCCCTTTGCTCTCTCTTCAGTGAATTGTGATTTTTTAAAAATATAACATACAATTTCATTTTGAAATCCTGTTTGGAGCTTAAACATTGGATTTTGGTTTATAGATAGCATTTATTCCGCCAGAGATGCTGGGTCATTTTGAGACGTCTCTGGTAAAATGGGGCTTTGTAACTTGAGTCTGAAAGGGGGATTACTGATCACCAGTGTGCTGATTTGATCAGTGTGAGGAACCAGTCACTGGGGTAGGCGGACAGACTCGGCTCCCAGTGTCTGTCTGCACTCAGAAGCTGTTTGTGCGGTGAAACCAGGAGAGGACAGAAGAAACTAGCTACCTCGTCAGCTGTGAGGGCGGGAAGAGGGAATATGAAGCAGAAATGAAGCTCTGAGTGGTGGCCATTTATAGTCCCAACACTTGGTGGGGGGGCTCAAACGAGAGGTTGGTGAGTTTGAGACTAGCCTGGGCTACAATGTGAAACTCTGTCTCAAAACAACATGAGGAGGAGGAGCAGCTACCTCCTGAGCAGAACACCCCACACAGGTCAGAACAGAAAGTTGGTGACAAGGTATGGTGAAGAGTATCCTACAGTCTCCACGGGAGTCTCGGATGCACATTTGAGACTGTATGCAAGATGAGTTGAGGAGAGCGCTCCCTTCAAGGCTGACATGGAAGCCGAAAGATGTGATGACAGAGTTTAAGTGATGATAGAGGTTAAAGGTTAGTGTATAGTGAACATTAGTGCTTTGTTTTTCCCCTCCCAACACAGCCGTAAAACATATGGACCAACACGTATTTTGCCTCACCCCTCCTTACTGCAAGATGAAGTCTGCTCGCTCAGACTGGCTCGTTCTGGAACATGCTAGGAAAGTCCGCCAGCCTCCTTGGGTCTAGTTCCTTTCTCCCTCAGGATATGGTGTGCCTTGACCCTGGCTATTGATCTTACAGCCCAAGAAGAGATGATCTTACGGACAGTCTGAGCTGTCCGGCAAGACAGAGGCCTCCTCAAGAAATGACGGATGGTGTGCACTTACAGGGCCAGCCTCCTCCTTCAAGTGCATTGACCCAGGGGATCTTGAGTTCAATGATCCAGACGTCCCTATCCCAGGTCTCAGGGCTCTTTTCCTTCCTGGTCAGAGCCCTAACTTAGTATGGAAGAGCTGACGAACTAGAGCGCAACCTTCCTTGGAGATCTGCTGCATTATATATAACAAGGTCCTGCTCCTAGGCGCCTCCTGACCTGCTGCAGGTGAGGAAGTGTCAGTGTTTGCTGCCGAGGTATCCCCATACCTCCCCTTGTATAGGTGATTAATGAGTGTTAGCTTTCCTTGTCCTTTTCAATTGCATCAAAAGGCAGGAGGAGAGGCTAGGCAGCCGGCTCGGTGGTTAGAGCACTTCCTGATCTTCTAGAAGACCCGAGCTCAGCTCCCAGCATCATGTCAGGCAGTTCACAACTGCCTGTAACTTCTGCTCCAAGGATTCCGACACCTCTGGCCTCTGCAGACACAGGCACGGGCACCCCTGTGCACATCACACACATACACATAACTACAAATTAAATTAAATTTAAAAGAGAGCCAAAGGAAGCAGACATTCAATTTCCAAATCATTATAGAAATACCATTTCCTTGAAACTCTAAGTGCCCCTCCAGTTCATCCCACCCTGGGTTCATCCAAGCACTCAGAATCAAACCCAGGGCATGCTGGGCAGGCACTCAACACCTGAGCTACACCCCCACCCAGCCTTCTGCTGTTAGAAATCTTAGCAATTACACCACCCCCTCTCAGAGTCAACATTTATTATCAGTGACCAGGTCTTTATTGTAAGCCAGGACGTGATCTTGTGCAAGACAGTTCACTGCAGCTGAAGGCAGTTCTCAGCTGGGTGCTTCCCTGCGTTCCTTCATCTGCCCGTAGCCCTGGCCAGCGGAAGAACAAGTGCCTGAGGACTGAGGGTCCAATCCCGACATAACCACGCTTCTTCAGTACACATACTGAGCCAGATTCTAACACGATCTCCCCATGATGCCTCTGCATGTCAAAGTTCCGGAAGCACAGGCATCCCAGTCAGCTTTCTGTCCTTACAGTGAGATACTGGATACAGACAACTTACTTAAGTCCCAGGAGGAGGTTTGTTTTGGCTCATGGTTTTGGAGATTCTAGTCCAAGATCAGGTCGGCATATTGCTGTGGGCCTTCAGCAATATGGAGTATATCTCACAGCCAGGAAGTATACAAGCACCAGACTGTGGGAAGAGAGAGAGAGAGAGAGAGAGAGAGAGAGAGAATATCCCTCCCAAAGACCTAAAAACTACCCACATGGCTCCTTCTCGAGGTCCACCACATCTCAAAAGCCCCACTACAGGGACTATATCTTTTACACGTGGACCTTTGCACATGGACCTTTAGGGGAGCTTCAACATCCAAACTACAGCTGTTGATTTAAAGCCGGTTCTCAAACTTGTGTGTCAGGATCACCTGATAGGCTCCTTAACCCCACTGCTGCTTCTCCGCCCTCTGAGTTCTGAGGTTGGCGTTGTTGGTAACTTCTGGGTGCAGCTGAGCTGTTTCTGTTTCACAACTTCCACCTGAAGGAGGACAATGGGGGGGGCAGTGGGGCACATGCCTTTAATCCCAGCACTGGGGAAGTAGAGGCAGGTGGATCTCTTTGAGACTGAGGCTAGCCTGGTCTACAGAGCAAGTTCCAGAACAGCCAGGGCTACACAGAGAAACCTGTCTCAAAAAACCAAGTAACCAACGAACCAAACAACAACAAATATATAAATACACAAGTATCTAAGCCAGGCATTGCTGTGAGTTTGAGGCTAGTCTGAACTACGTATTGAATTTAAAGCCAGCCTGGTCCCCATGGCAAAAAACCCTCTCTCAGTAATAACATATAAATATATTAAGTATTAAATGTATATAAAACATACCTGGAGATGACTGGGGTTGCAGTTTGCTCCCTCCTCTGAGGTGACTTCAAGGACACTGGCTTTGTCTGCTCTGCCATCACTAACATCTTGGACTGTTCACTTACGGCCTTCATGTAGCCACGTCTCTGGTTATCTATGGTCAAGGCAGGACCTGAGAAGAGGGGGCAGCTGTGATCTGATTCTTTGAGGAGGAAACAAGAGCGTCTATGGAAGTCCCCCACTCTTGCAGACTTCTGGTTTTGATTTCATAAATCCATATCCCTTCAGTTATTGCAACAAGGTCTGTATGTAATATATTCTTTCAAAAGCCAGTCAAAGGAAAGAGGGCAAGACAAAATCCAAAGTCTTTCATGAGGATATCACAAAAAAACAACAAATGAGGAAAACTCCTTTCCCAGTGCTCACATGCCCTAGGAAGGAAACCAGATGTGTGTGTGTGTGTGTGTGTGTGTGTGTGTGTGTGTGTGTGTGTGTTTGTGTGTGTGTGTGTGTGTATATATATACTTTTTTTTGAGATAAGATCTCATGTATCCCAGGCTGGCCTCAAACTTGATAAATAGCCAAAGGCAACCTTGAACTTATGATCCACCCACCTTTTTTCCCCAAGTGCTGGGATTACAGGTTCCTTAGTTAGGGTTTCTACTGCTGTTATGAAACACTGAGACCGAAAGCAACTTTTGGTAGGAAAGGGCTTATTTGGCTTACACTTCTACATCACTGTTCATCCTCAAGGGAAGTTAGATCAGGAATACAAACAGGGCGGGAACCTAGAGGCAGGAGCTGAAGGAACCGTGAAGGGGTGCTGCTTACTGGCTTGTTCCCATTACTGTTCTTACTGTTCAGACTGCTTTGTTGTTGTTGTTGTTGTTTTTGTTTGTTTGTTTGTTTTGTTTTTCAAGACAGGGTTTCTCTGTGTAGCCCTGGTGATCCTGGAATTGCTTTGTAGACCAGGTTGGCCTGAAACTCACAGAGATTCCATCATCTCTGCCTCTCAAGTGCTGGGATTAAAGGTGTGCACCACCACCACCTAGCCAGCCTGCTTTCTTACAGAATCCAGGACCACCAGCCCAGGGGTAACCTCACCCACAGTGGGCTAGGCTCTCCCCCATCAATCGTTAATTAAGAAAATAATCTACAGGCTTGTCGACAGCTCGTTCTTATGGAGGGAATTTCCCAATTGAGCTTCCCTCCTGATTTATGAACTGGACTTTCTAATTCAAAAAGGAAGACATATACACTAACAAATCAAAGCTGTGTTCAATGAAAACTACT